AAAGATCCCAGATTTGGGAGGAAAAGTTGGTGTTTGGGGGGAAGGAGTTTTGGGTTGAGGGAAAGATCCTGGTTTTTTTGGGAGAAATCCTGTTTTTGGGGGTAAAATCCTGGGATTTATAGGGAAATATCCCGGTTTTGGGGGGGAAATCATGATTTTGGAAGGGAAAAATCCTGTTTTTTGGGAAAACCTCCTGACTTTGGAAGGATTTGTGGTGATGGCAGAGCAGGATTTTCTTGGGAATGAAGAGAAACCATCCCCAGAATCTTCCCAAATTATGATTTTTATGGGATAAAATCCTCATTAGCTGAAAAATCTCCATTAAGGGGCTTTGGAAAAATGCAAAAACTTGGATTTCATGGAATTATTTCCAAGTTTCAACGATTTTTTTGGCTTCTTTTCGGTCGAAGAACCTGAAATTTGGGAAGTTTTGTGGTTTCCTTGGATTTCCTTGTGGGATTTAATCCGATTTTTGGCCCAGGTTTCCCAGTTATTCATTAAACCGACGGACGTTGATCCCGAGTTTTTCCTCTTCCGTGAAAATCCCGATGGAATTTTTCACTGCTTGGAATTTTTTAAAGAGTTTTGGGGGTTCTTTTTCACCCCTTCCCACATTCCAAGTGGGAATTGTTGCTTCCCAGGCTTTAAATCCGGCCATAAATCCCATTTCCAGAGGGTTTGGGATGTGTTTGATCCCGATGGATTCGGGTAACGGGATGTTTGGAGCATCATTTTGGGGAAAAAAACAGGATAAAAAGTTGGGAAAAGCCGTTAAAATCCGTGGTTTTCATGGAAAATTTTCACTCAAATAATTTTTTAAGGAAAACAACGGGAATTTTATCCAGGGTAATGAGGCATTTGGAGCAGAGTTTTGGGGGAAAAAACCGGGATTGAAGTTGGAAAAAACCCATTTAAATCCTGGATTTTCATGGAATATCTTCATTTAACTCATTTTTTTAGCGAGTTAAGTGGAATTTAAATGGGATTAAAGGTGGGAAAAACCATTAAAATCCTGGATTTTCATGGGCTGTTTCACTTAATTAA